ATACATACAGTATGTGTGTAACACACACATACTGTGTGTGTTACACACACAGCCTCATCTGGCTGTGTGTGTATGTGTACCTAGTATTTATTTGATGGATCCCAAGTATGAAGTAGGAGAAAGTGAAATAATCGAGTACAAGTACCTCAGTACTGGTCCAACTGTAACGGTTTTCTGTTGACTAATGGTGCTAATGCTGGATGCTGCAGTCTGATCCAACGTGAAGTTTCAGTTCCACCTCTGGGCTGATACAGTTGTGTTGTTAGCTCAGCGCAGCTACATCTCACCTCCGCTCACCTGGCGCTTCCTCCCCACCGAGGTCTAAGCAGTGCTTGGAGGTGTTCAGATGGAGATACTGAGTTGATCAAAAGAGTGCCACAGGCTATTGCGAAAGCCTGGTAAAGAAAAGCCAGATGAGAGGACAAGAACAAAGGAGAGCCTTGTGAGATCCTATTCTACAGGAATAGCTGAAGCCCAAACTGGAGTTTCATGATGGATACAATAAATGAGATCATGTCTTCATGCTAAAGACATTTATAAACAGCTTAAGGATAAAAGCTCACTGTTTATTTCCCATGGTCCCAGAACTGAGAGCATATTCATTAACATAATTCATTACATCTTAACATGGGAATTTATTTGGATAAGATACAAGAGAAATGAATTTTCTGTTTAGACCCTTAGGTAATTCATTCTCCTGATCCACAGCCCCCGCTCCCTGTAACAACCACAGGTCACGTGAACTTTGACGCAACAGGCAGAAGTTGGTGCTTGATACAGAATACATTTCAAGGGAAAGAACTTGAAACTATCAATTTTCCAAAACGGTGTTTTAAGATTCAGCGACAGACAGCAGCAGGAGAGTGGGGAGGAAAATTCTCCAAAGGGCTGGTTCTCGCTGTCTCTGCAGCCTCATCGCTGAACAGGTAATAAACAGAGACAGCCAGTGACAGGCTGAGTAAATACAATATGCCGAGCAGGGTCTTAGAGCGAACAAGAAGAGGAGAGACTGGAGGAGCATGTGAGAGACAGAGTGGAAAAGGAAGCACTGTGAAAAGGTTAAATGTAGAGAGATGATTGGGAAATGAAGAGAGGAGAGATAGTGTGGAAGGCAACCTGTGGCAGAGAAAAGGACGGGGGGAAGAGAAGAAGACAAAGAAGAGAATGACCTTTGAGGAGAAAGTAATATGAAATACAGGGTGCTGAAAAATGACAATGGAAACACTTATGAAACCAAAAATATGAGTTATTCAAGGAAAGGGCACAACTTGGATACAGGCATGTGTTCTAGTTGTGGCATTATACAGTCTGTTTGAGCCTGATGATGCATCAGTCATCCAGTGATGCTGAGCATTAATGAGACAGAAGAGCTTCAGTGCTCTGCCTGAACTGCCTAGACTAAGACTGCATTCTCAGTGCAGGATTAATATACTCATCTAATGAAGAAAACAACATGCAACAATCAGCAGTAAATAGAAGATCCTGTTACCTGCCACGTTCAGTTTAACAAGGGTTTGAGGAGCTCACTTGCTTTGTTTAGCTTGTGTATGTGTTGGTTTACCAGTAGAGTTCCAAGTGAAAACGGCTTCTTTTTACTTCTGACAAAAAACAGGAACTAGAGGTGATTATTGTTGAATTAAGTTTTCATTCTTATGGAAGACTATGGTAAGAAATCTCTTCAATATAGGTGGTACAGTAAGTAAAATGTTATCATGAGCAACAGTCACAACACAAGAATAAGACGTAATCTGTAGCAAAACTTTAAAAAAAAAAATTTTTTTTAATTGAAAGAAACAATCGTGCCATGTCATGAAATTATAAACATATAACAATATATGGCAAGCACAGAGTAATAGAGCAAAGAAAGCTGGGGGGGTTAGACATAGTTCATACAAATATTTTAAAGAATCTACAGTTCTTCCATTTTTACAGCCTTTTTGTATTGTTTGACCTCCATTTAAAAAAAGAAATGTTGGGAGACTTTCCAGTGAATTTGCATTTATGAATATGGAATTCTGCTAATAAAATTTGTAGATGTAATAGCAATAATTAATGTTACCAGGAAGCCAAACAGCACATTTTTCCAAAGCAGAAGAAAATTTAAGTCAGTATGGGTTTTAAAAAAACACACAAAATGTTTTTACAAAAGGGCATTGCCAAAATAAATGTACAGCGGTCCCAGGGGAAGAACAGCAAAATGTACTCAGTAACCAACAGCAGCAAATGTTAAAGTAACTGTAATTACTAATAGGAGCAACACAGCAGAGCTGATGGAGGCTCTGCAGTCTCTGAAGAACATCTGCTGCTGCCCTGCAAGCATAAATATAAAGCACACGCTAATCTTGGTTTCTATTAGGAAGCTCCTTCCAGAAGGGCCCACTGTCTAAAGAGTCCCTGAGACATCCAGGCCCTTATCATTATAATGAACATTTGTCCTGATGCCAAGCCTCAGCATTGTGCTGTGAAGATAGGAGGAATGCTTATGCAGTGACCTTGTTTAAACCAGGGCCCCTGTCTCCTTGATGCTCCTCACACAAAGGTAAGAGCTTAGTAATTACATACAGTCCTGTACAATGAGCCGAGAAGGATGTCCACATCTTCAAGGAGAGGCAGGAGGGCAGGATAAAGAAATATGAGCAGGGATGAGGAGGTGGAACGTGGAAGATTTATTCAAACTATACTCTGGTCACAAGGTCGATTTTGGTTCTAGAGAAACTCCCTCTGGAGGAGGAACCTTTAATTTTCTTTAATTGCAATTCTTCTGTGCAAAAAAGTACAAGAAAATGAGTCTGAAAGTTCCCCAGAAGAGCTTCAGGTGACTACCTTCTGATAAGTGTGTGAAATGATTATTGTTACATCAGATGTTGATTCACTCTTATTTTTCACCTCTCTCTGCACTGCAGTCATCTGGACATTATGCTTAGACAACTTAAAATACAGAGCTCCAAATATTTTTTAGTACCAAGAAATCTGATAAATAGTTTTTATCTCGAGTTTGCAGGTAGGAGGAAAGGTCAAGGATTTTAACTCTCATTTCTTTTTAGCAGTTTGCAAATGCGGTGTCTGACCTGAGCATGATAAATTATACTTGCTCTGCAACTGGTAGAGTCTTTACTGTAGAAGTTGGGCTTTTAATTAGGGCAGCACAGACTGGGATGAAGCTTTTGTTTGCTGTGATATTTGTAGTAAATTTAATGACAGCACATGGCATTAAAATGTCTGAAAAACAGATGTTACAATGGTAGTTATTTAAGCAGCTGTAATTACTGTAATTGCTGTTGGAAATTTGCCTAATGAAACTTCTACCCTTTATTTCTACAGCCCTAAAAGGTGCAAATTAAATGTGAAGAGGTTTCCCTTTGTATGTTCTCTTTCTCTGCCCTGGTAGGAAGAGGTTTGACTCACCTGTATCTGCAGGATGAGACTCTGTACAGCCCACAGGACGCCTCATCTGGTGTTAAAGGTACTGTAGCAGCCGTTCCTGCTGGCGGGCATCTCCTGGTGTAGGCTACCTCACTGTTACTGCAGAAAATCTAATCAAACACATCAACCTTGCACCACTGCTGCCCCAGTGTCTCCCGGGTGTTTCATTAGTGGTTAATTATTCGTCAGGCTTCATCTCTCTGTGTGTCATATCAGCTCTGACCCTCCAGTCTCTTCCTACACAACAAATATGCCAAGTTACAAGACTTATAACAGGTGGAGCATCTCATAATGCATGTACTGTATTACAGTGACTTTCTAACAGATGAAGGTCAAGGCTGCGCCAGGCTACAGAAGGTGTTGCTGTACTTTGCATGCAGCCATTTGGTGTATATGCATGTGTGTGTGTGTGTGTGTGTGTGTAATGTTTAACAATGCCAAAAGCAGCCACCCAGAGTGTAAATGGGCTTGTAGCCAATTTTCTGGCCAACAGACAATGAACATTTAGCTCCCTCACTCTCTCTACTGACCCAGTTCATCAAGCCCAGCACTGAAAAAAATAAACAAAAATAAAACGGACAGTCTTTCCCAAAATGGCTTAAGCAGGGATGGTTATATAACCATTTGACAATCATAACAGATGCACAGTCACAGATGTTCCCTAGATGGAATTCACAGTATATCTGCCCATTTATACCGTTCAAATGCAGAATATAATGTGAGCACTGATGCATTCTTCTCACCATATAAACACATGCAACACAAACACATGTCTGTATTAAGATTACATCATAAACACCAACTGTATGAACCTACATGAATGCATAGATGAATACTGACACACACTGGCACACAAACGCTGCAGCACAATTGCATAATGGCCTCCTGCCTTCAGCCATAATCAACAAAGTTAACGATGACAACATGGACATGGAGACATTAGTATTGAATGCACTGTACACTGGACTTTATTGTTCAGTCCCTGGTGGATCTGGTGGAGTTTTCCTGTGAACAATGAAAACATTGATTTTTAATTAAGCAAAGCAATTTTTTTTAAAAGATATTTAAAACCCTGGATTGTTTCCAACCACGTTTTTGTTAGCTAGGCAGCATCATGCAGAAAAATTTTTGGATCCGGTTCAGCTTTTTCTGCAGCACAATACTGGTAAAGCACTGCACTGGCCAATGCACCTGCGATCATGAATTCCTGGTGAATTACCTTGTAACATAAGTGGCATATTTCTGCTGTTTATCTCAAGATTGTCTCAAAGATGAAACAACTGCTGCCAGAAGTGTACATGTGGACCGAGCAATACAAACCACTGTGCTGTGTTTTGCAATCTAATAAGCTTTTAAAACCTAAAAGCATTCCTCCAACTGGACTTCATGGATCATATTTTATTGTCTTGCTCATACATGAAACAACAGTCCCTCGTGGACCACACACAATCAAAAAATGGGCCCCACACATACAGTATAAACATTTCTCTATAGCACTGCTAGTGGTCTAAAATTTGACAGGGTACCTTTAAGTTGCCTTCAGGGTTTCTTAAAAGGTAATGCCACTGATTTTGAACCCAACAATATTAATATTAATGCAGTGCTAAATCAAAGGAGTGGAATGATTCTGTGCATAGCTACTATACACTACCTCAGATACAATATGGAGCTTGTCCCAAACCTTGACTGTATAAGAGATGAGGCAGTCCTACACCTAAAATATCACCAGTTCTACTCTTTTAACTGCGTCCCAGTAGAGAATGATCTTTAATAAAAACAACAATGATAGAAATTCATATTTAAGTTACATTACATGTTGAAGATAGGATGCAACAGAAGCGCCACAGACAAAAATTCTCTGAAAATGGTCTTATTTGACAGCACAATGTGAGATTTTCCTGACAACACTGCGCAGTATTTACCAGTAGTTGGGTTTCATTTCTGTGTAAGAATAACAGCTTAATTAAAACCCACAAGCTTTGTTTGCTCACCTCCCGTCATCGACAGTGAACAGTGTTTACAGTATTGTGAGCCGACCCTTTGATTCAAGTTTGCCAAAAAAACCTTCTGACACAATCACTTTTTGTTTGAACATAGCCTCTGACTACTCTGGGGTAAGCCATGCATATGCATAAGCTTCTGTTTCACACACACTTGATGCTCAGCAGCCCTTTCCTGGCACTCAACACTAATAAGCAGCTTCTATTCAAGTGTTTAGTCATCATTAAAACATTCATTTGCAAAATAACACTGTATTATATCCTGCTAAAACACATTAGTTAAACAATCTTTAAACACTGAATCTGTCACTAAAGCCAGTCGACCTTTGATTTGGGAGAAGCTAAACCCACAGAAACACAGCTTACACATCAATATTAATGGTAAGACAGCGTTCCCCTTTTTCTCATATACATCATAGCAAGTGATTGACATGGTTTAAGGGACTGTATGAAAATTATTAGGGGTGGAACAGAGGTCAGAGAAAGGGAAAATTATATATATATTTATTTCTGCTGATTGGAGAGCAATCTGTCTTTTGGGGGGGTTCACGCATACACCTAAATATTTACTCACCACAAATGCATATTTTATGCTACGTTCATGTCCTGTTGTTTGAACTGTAATAATGAGCAGCCGAGTGGGAAAAACCATCAATTTGTAACCCTGAGTTGGAAAAATCAGGAATTTCTGTCCGCTATGATATCTCCCACTTGGCAGAAAGGATTGCAGAAGTGTCATCATTACGAGTTCGCAAATGGCTTCAAAAGAACTATCGCCACCAGTTACACCGAATATCACTAGTAAACTAACAAGAAATACTATGTGTATTGTACTTAGCAACATAGCTACTGGCATTTTGTGGTCAAAGAAAATAACTATTATCGTTAAAGGTTAGCTGACAAATTAGCATAATAGCCAAAGTAGCTTAGCTTAAAAAGGCAATTTCTCAAGCTTAGCTTTTTGCAGAGTATCTAAAATAAAGAGTGGCTGGAAAATTCACACATTTAGGTGTACTCTAAATCTGGAAATGTCAAATTCCTCTTTTAATATGCACTATTTTAAAATCTATTATTTCATTAACATATTGTGGTTTGACTTTTTTGATTCTTAAATACGTAAAGACAGATTTAACTCACCTCTCCACCTCAATAATTTTCATGCACTTGCTAAGATTATTATGTTGAATCTAAAAGATATTTTCGATAACTGCTGCATCCTTGGTGACATTAAGATATGATATGCTTTCTGTAGATTATATGTAATAGTCATAATGATAATATAACAGAACTAGGAAAAAGGAATGCCCATTGCCTGGTGGTCTATGTCCGAGACTGTAAATAGTGGCTCTATGATCCTTACACATAAACTGAAAAACAGAAATCATTCCACAAGAGAGTATTACAACCCCTCTTCACCTCAACACACTCCCCCCACCCCCCACCCCTAGCAGGAAAGCAGCTACAAAACACCGTAGGCACTGAGACCGTGATACACTTTTACTAAAAAACTGAGTAGAGTAAGAAAAAAAAAGACATGGTTGAGACAAAAGAGAGCAGTCCCAGGCTGGTCCATGTGCAGTTTACAGAGTGTTTTGGTCTCCGTGTGAGGTAACAGGTGCTGTCTGACTGGGTCAAACAAAAGGCAGCCTCTGGGGAGTCATTTATCATTTACTCAGCCAGACAATGGACCGAGACATTTACATATTCTCCTAGAGAGGCCTGCAATGTGAACACATTCACCTCCACTCTCGTGACTGAGACATTTTAGTCTGTAAGGCTTTGAAGGCCCCGTAGACACCCTTAATGTCCTCACACATGGTAGGTCTGTGTCACAGACCAGGTGAGCACAGGAACACTGATATCTGCAACCTACACAGTACAGTGAAATTACCAGCTCAAAGGCCCTGGGATTAAAGGTCACCACTCTGTGGTTCAGGTCTGGTCTCCTGGTTGCGACTGCGGCTCAGTCTGGGGAAGCGGGAAGAGGTTCTGGACCGCGGTGTCTTGGCTCCGGTGTCATTGGCCTGGGGTGTGTCTCTAGAGAGAGAACAGTGGGGAGGAGAAGATAAAAGCCATGGGCTTTGGGTGAACATCTGGCAAAGTTTCTTATTCAAACAAAGCACTGATGCTGCATCTGGAGGCTTGAATGCATCATCTCCCTTCTGCTAGAGAAAAACCAGACATCGAGTCAGAACAGCAAATGGCAAAGCTTTGCATGCACCAAATAAGCTGAATCAGAAAAATGAATCAGTTACTACTGCTACATGCACATCTGTCAAACCTTCTCACACTGCAAAGGTATGGTTTACTATAACAGTGGCAGATTTACCACTCAAAATTCTTAATAATTAATAATCACTGGAAGATTTTATCTGCAACGCTGTAGCTAGCTGGCTAATTAAGTCAAATTCAGCTTCAATAAGTCCTACAAATCTTTGCCAGTGGTGTAACACTCTGGAATATGCTGAGCATAATATTATGGATTGTCGTAAATGTGACTCCGAGAGGGAGAAAGTTGAGGAAATAGTGCAGGAAGCAGGAAAGGAATGGAGTCTAAAAATCACTCTTGGGAACAGAATTACACAGAAGAGGATGAATTCATTTTATTAAAGAAACAGGATTGGTAAACAGGATAGCATTTTTTGGTTTTATTTCAAACCAATTACAACTCAGGTAATTAAATGACATTATTCTTTATACTTCAATACAGTAGGCGGTGATATGCACCTTATTCATTTGTGATCTGCTAATAAATGAAAAGAAGGACCTTAGCTCACAATGGTGGGTTGAAAACACCGTCTCTGGCTCATATTTTAATGCTTCCAGCTGTCTCATTTGAAATAACCATTACTGTGTATTAATCTATCATAACACTGTTTGGCCATCTAGCTTACATATTTCTGAGGACAGAGGCCTCAGCCTGAACTCTGCTGGCATCCAGAGCTCCTTTTTTTACCCAGCAGGGACATGCTACACTGTGCTCTACAGGTGGTTCTTCTAGTGGCTAGAGAAATCATCCCGCATCTACACTATTCTAGTTACCTTTCATGGCACATGTACATTCTTAAGGCACCTTATACAGAGGCAAGAGCACAGACTTTGGAGCTTCATGGGAAGTTGCACAAGCAAGGAGAAAGGTCATGTTTACAATATGTTTGGCGAGACACTAAAACATCCCATAACACAACTGTGAAGGTCCTGCTCATATACTGAATGCTGTAAGGAAACCTCAATAACATGATAAGGACGTGATTAGGATGGGGGGGTTCAGTTAAAGCCCACAGTGTTATAGTCATGAACAGGGCTTTTTATTTTAACATAAGTTTGGCTTCTGGTAAGTTTCTGTCCTTGCAGTATCTTTTATTTTTCTCAAGATTGAACAACTTCATTATCCCCGCCCTCGCAACCGGAAGCCATTATTAGTACACAAGGAATTGAATTATAGTCATTTCTCATTTCATGATGCTGTTGAAGCTTCCTGGTACTCAGGAGGAAATAATCCTGACCACTTGATGACATCATTGCCCTAGTTACCGTGACGACCGTCTCCTCAACATATGAACCCCCGATCCCTGAGTCTTATCTGATACTGTTGAGGATGAATGAGAGGCACTTGTCAAAGTGAGGAAATGAAAAGCAGGGATGAGTGAAGCCCTGGAGCAAAATGTTCCCTTTTTGTTTGAAGCGTCTTGGGTTCCCCTGCTTTACTGAAGCACTTCACTCCCAAGACAATGACCTCTCACCTGCTGCTAATAAGAGCTGGAAGTTCAAGTGATTCTTTAACAAAGAGACTTTAAATATATATTAAAAACAGTGATGAGGCAGAGGGCATTTCCCTGTGGATGTCCAGCTGGCCTCTTTAATGATTGCTCGAGCTGTGTTTAAGGGTGTATGGGACGTCTGGGTGGGCCTATGAGGAGTTTGATTCCTATTTGGACAACACATTCTAAAAATAAATGCACTCCTGTTGAGGTGCTTTGGTTACATGTATCACTGCAGGCCATACGCTGGCATGCGAGGGCCAGGGACTAGAAAAGCAGTGAGAGCACAGAGAGGCTCTGTCATGTGAAAATAGGCCAAGACATGAAAGAGACTGTTACAGGACGACTTGGGATTCAAACTCCAGCCAACCTGAGAACAGCCTGCACCTCGTTAATATGTTGAACATTATTCCCTTTCCTCTGGCACAGAATGTACATTTGGCAGTGGCTCAAGTGCCACTTATTCCTGTATCTCCACCACACCAGGCACGTTTAATCAAGTGTAGGTGCACAATTTGAATTGGACCAAGGTTAACCAAAGAGTGATATCACCAAAAGTCCTACTAAACTGGGGAAAACATGCAGAGATGAACTGCAAGCAATCTTATTTATTCATAGCAAACCGAATAATGAAGCTAAATTGCTCAATTAATTAGGCATATAGATTTTTTCTGGCTCTCGGCATGTGCTTGAACCCCATTTGGACATTGATATTGACTTGTGCAGGATAATGTTTCCATGAACTGTTGGAACATTAATAATTTGACTGCAGAGGAGCATAATTTGAGTAAACAGGTACACAAGCACAAGCATGCATCAAATTGACTGACTGTGAAAGGTGGGCTGCAGTAAATAGTACAGTCTGCTCCCTCCACATTTCTCTTCACACACACATATACACATCCTCTAGTTCTCAAGTAACATCAACATGCATATACACAGGCAGACATGAATAAATTGTTTCAGGGCACCACAATAAAAGGTTACTCTTTTGTTGGCACATACTGCTCTCAGCAGTGAGACAAAGGTCTCCAACACTTTTTCCCCCAGGTCAATAAGGCCTGAGCCCAAACTGAGTGTGTGTAGTTTGAGTTCTGAATAATCCATAAAAGCGTTGAGGTCAAGCTGCATACAGTACTAGAGCGGTGGCAAATCTAAGGAGAGCTGTGACTGTGTCACTGTTCCAGACAAGTGAGAAAAATTGCAGCATGTGTGGAGAGGCACAAAGAGATCAGTACACACCATCAAGCACAGACAAACTGGCTTGTCACCCAGACAGCTATTAGTTAAGTTGCACCAATAGTTGGTGAGTTATGTCAGTCCAAAGTGGACAAAAGTGGTGGATGAACAGATTGATCGTTGCCGTTGTATGCTGACCACACTGCCTGCACGGCTACTAACAGAGACCAAAGACACTATAAACAACACAGTCTGACAAAATAATCCCAAAGTAAGGTCCACTTGCTACTGTCACTTTTTTATCGGATATGATTCAAAGTTCATTCATGACATTAGCATTCATTCAGTCTTTGATGCTCACATTTAAAGTCAGCTAACAGACTCAAACAGAGCAAACCGATGATGAAGACCAAGTGACAGTGGTGGAAGAAGTACACAGATCCCTTACTTAAGTAAAAGTAACATAAAAATACTTTGGTCCAGTTACAGTCCTGCACTCAAATCGTTGCTTAAGTATTAGCATCAAAACAAAATCAAAAGTATTAGTATCTTAAAGTACCAACAGTAAAAGTACTCATTATACAGAATGGCATATTTCACATTCCTGTATATCATATTATTGTATTATAAATAATGATGCATTGTTGTGTACATCGCATTTATTGTTGCAGCTGCTAAAGGGGGAGCTAGGTTTAACTACTATGCATTTAATTTGAATTACTGTTGGATAGCTTGTGAATTTTTCACTGGGGATCGTTAAAGTCTTATGATTATACTGTAATTATTGTATTATTCTGGTTCTGCAAAGTAACTAGTAACAGAAGTTATATAATAAATGTGCTGGAGCAAAAAGTACAACATTTGGCTCTAAAATTTAGCCAAATCGATGTATAAGATCAAAATACTCAACTCTAAGCACAGTCTTTAGCAGAGGTACTTAATTACTTTCCACCACAACTGAGTGAAATGGTTGAAAACTCTGGAAACAGTGAACCTTGAGCTGACACTGTCAAATTATTATTTCCAAGATATCAACAGATTAAGCTGGGTTAACTGTGTTGTCAACTACTGCAGGTACAGTACTGACTAGAGACACAGGAAGACTGAGCTCCTGTACGTCCCTGTGTGTGTGTGTGTGTGTGTCAGAAGGAGATCTGAAGGGCCTGAATATAAATCTTTTCTTTCTTTATCTTTTCCTCTTTCATCTGTCTCTTTCTCTTCCTCCTACCTCCACTCTTGCCTTCTACCCATTAAATCGCCTCCTGTCATTTTCTCTCTCCACTGGCTTCTAATTGGCTCAAAGAACCTGAATATCTGTCATCTGGTGTTTCAGTCTCTCCAACCCTTCATTGGGTTTCCCTTTGTGTCACAGATCTGCTGGTGACGACATCTGGTGCCATCATGGAGGTTCAGAGGACAAGTGGCTGTACAGATTAATGAGAATAACAGCCGTCAAGAAACAGAGACACTTGAAAAATGTCCCTTTTTTTTCTAGTTAATGAAAACGAGAGTACATATCTATTTTGCCCATTAATGTCCGCTCATTCACAGTGGGCATGAGCAGACATTTCTGAGTGGAAGAGAGATCACTGAATGTCCTTCATGAGGAGACGGGTGTCTTATGATGTGATGCTTCTGAGTGTTTCTGAAGTTGTAGAGAGCACACGATATATTTAATGCATATGCCACTGGAACCAACACTCTTGCAGTAGTGGGTCAAAAATGGCCCCCTATATCATCAAAATAATCATGCGAATGTCATTCCGACATTATTTACATTTTACAATCTATTCATGTTTTACTACTGTACTTAACCCTCTAAAGCCTAACACATCAAAAAATAGCCAGAACATTCTAATTTTTCGGAACTGAGATGTTTATTAAACCTTTTAACAAAATGCAAAATATAATTCATGATTCAAAATTCAAGATTCACAATTTTTATTTGCCAGACAGACAGACAGCCCGGCATATAGGAATAGAGGTGCCATATTATTTAGATTATTTCTATTTCTTTTGTATCACATTTGATACATGGGGCATTTTTGGCGATTTTTTTTTTTTGCTCAGGAACCTCAAGTATCAAATATGATGCAAATGGTTTTATAGGGTTAAGTACTGAGTTAGCTCAGCTATGAAGCTGTAGTACTTAGTTAAGGCAAAGGTTAATCTGTAACCACATTATTGTTGGCTAACAAGCTAATTTCTGCTAGTTTTACAGTTGGGTTTTACATTTACATTTTCATATACTATAACTGCAGTGTAAATGTTATGTAATTTTGTGAAGCAAACAAAACATAGGTAATATATATCAAATGCAAAAATTGTCTTGGTGTGTAAAATAATGTTGGTGACTGATGACAGGAGTGGTCAAAAAATGTACCTTTCCTTAAAAAAATCTAGGGGCAAAATAAAGGTCTGATTAAGAGAAAGTCAAACACAGGATTTTTGAGAAAAACCAGGAATATATATTTTTTGCACACCAAAATGAATGGTGAGGGTCAGACACATAATCTAGCGAGGCATGGCTTCCAGTTTGGACTAATCAGACTTCCATCCCTCGCTGATGATGCTATCCCAGCACAGGCCTGATCTTGCCAACTGAACTGGTAGTTATGGAATCCAGATTAGATGGTAACATCAAGTTAAACCACTAAATACCATGAGAACACTGACATGCTTCAGAGCAACGTTTTTACAAAGCAACTCCAGTGAGAGTACCATGTGCCTTTCAACTCATGAGACAGGAATATTATGGAATCCTGATTGCGTGCGGGTCCACTGTCAACTGCATTCTGCTAAGTCACGAAGGTAAAAATGCTCGTGTCATTGCCAATCACACCAAAGACAAGAAGTGCTTAACCATCAGCTCTGTCAACTGCCACTACTGAATCTCATCAAAGGTAGACGTGTCTGCAGGCTCTCTGCATCATGTTGCATGACATAATGCTCAAGATGCTGTTGTTTTGGACTTGTCAGGAGTAATTACTACATAAGTACAAAATCACAAACATGCATTCATTAGTAGAATGAATGAAGATATGTTAAACTCTGAAAAACTGTGTTATGGTGTAGGAGGAACATCAGAAAGTGACACCAGGTTTGGAGCAGATGTTGCTGGCTTGACACCAATATTTCAGGCCATTCAAAGATGTGGAATAGAAAAGTTTCTATTTCAGCCTAGAGATAAGAGAAAGAGAGAGATGATTATTACACCTGTCAGTGCAGACTAAATAATAAGACAGCCCTGTGAGTCTACTCTTATTCTACTAGACTACTGCCCGGAGACCTACCTCTCAATTTTAACTTATCTCTACTTACTTGCAAAAGGGAAAATGGATTTTTTTAAACGACTGCACATGGTGTGGTGCCTCTTGAAAGAACATTTTTTAAATGAATTTCCTATTTAATTCAATCAAAGCATAGCCAGACCCTTCTTCAACTTGAGCCAGAGCCAAATTAGCCAAAGTAATTGAAAATACCAATGTGGGTGTCTGGGGCTTCCAAACTTTCTACCAGTGTTGTTCTTGTTGTGGACATCTGATCATGCATTTAGTTTAAAGTACATGTATATTCCTGTAACTCAGCTGTCATATTCAGCAGTTGCTGTAATTTTTTTTATTACTCCATGACGTCCCACAAGAGTTTATATACTGTAAACCCCACACATTCCTTGTGTGTCTTAAATCCAATGCTCCTTAGGAACTCAAAGACATAAAAGGTCTGTTTCTGACTTAGGTGGCTTTCACATCAGCAGTTTGGTACAGTTAGCCCGGAACAATAAAAGGTACATTTTGGTCATTTAGTTTTTCATGTCCATACTGACTTGTTACAAAATTGGCAGCTCATTCTTTCTGAAATGCTATAGATTAAACAGGTGTAATACTGCCAACTCACAAGCAGTTGGTCCTTTTCAGATGTCAGGTTACTGTAGCATACAATGAAATTTCCACATTTTGTTAAGGAGGTAAATCATTTGGAATCCAAAAAACAACTAAAAACCATGCAATGGATCTGCAGTTTTATCATATCACCTGTAACACTGCAGCAGTCTTTCATGGTAACCCTGCACCTGCACACGTGCTGACATCCTTTACATAAATCTCTCTCTCACCCAGCCTTGCAAGTGCACACGCTCACATAAAAGCTACAGTGTGTCGAACATGCCTGTGTGTCCACTTACAGACAGAAAGGTAGCAGAGACAGCAGGGTCTCTTTGGTGGGGTGGGCTGTGAACTCCGGCAGCGTCTGGATCAGTTTGTTCATGACCGTGCGAAGGTAGCCCTGCAGCTGCTTCCTCCTCTCCTCCACAAACTTAGCATCCTGCAGACAGGGAGGGAGAGGGAAACAAACAGAGTGGGGAAGGAGGGAGAAGAACACCTTATTAATATATATGATAAAAGGCTGAGGTTAAACCTGTAACATGCGACTTAAATATTCTATAGTATTACAGTAAAAATAGCGCTCCTCCATTGGAGGAAGACCGCTGCCAACATTAACAACAACATACGGCACACCGGAAAGCTTTATGGACATTCGTCGTTGTGTTCACTACTCCCTTTCTTCAGTAACCTATTGTTGGCCTTACCACTGTGGGCCATATAATGTTTTAAGCTAGGGAGCTCATCATGATAACTGCCATGTATCAGGGGAAGGAAAGACACAAGCACATGCTGCCTTGAGGCAAAACATTGCATATTGTGACTTAAAAACATACGAGTCTGTATATGCTGTTGCTGGGCCAGGCTCAAATCCTGCACAGGAATCCCTCATGATGTGTCCCCTTTCTACTGTCAGCTGCAGTTAAAACCAGCAACATTTTGTTCATTACACGCCAACTGACCAGGCCTCCAAATCCCTTAGCTCCCATGACAAGCAAAGCAAAGCAGGCAAACACAACTCAATATTTGTGTTTATTTTGTCATTTGGTCGCTGATGGTAAAGAACAATCAGCCACAGCCATTTGAGAACTCAGACCTCATTCACTGAGCCACTCTGGAGGCAGAGGCAATGAGCTACATGGCCAGTGCTAGCACGGCTAATCATTGTCCAGCAAGGCTCAGAACAAAGCCTGGGCAACGGTCCATTATGCTCTCTGGTGCATGGGACTGGAACACACACCCATTCTAGTAGGCCACTGGTGTTGAATGTTTTTGAAACAATTTCTCCTTTGACGTGAAGATCCCAAGACCCAAGTGAATTTGTCATTTCTTAAAATACACACTTTGTTCTTTTGTACGAGAACAATAAATTCTTTGTGGTGCTGAATGGCACAATAATGGAAATGTAAAAGATAAAAGGACCCTTTATTAAGAAATACTGCATATAATAACCACTATGTCCAAAACCAATTCACAATTAAACAACACACAGCTGATGTAGGTTCACAGTCATTAATCATCATGTGCAATGAAATTACTCCCTGCTAATACATTTTTGACATTTGAAGCCCATGCTTGCATTTGTTTTCAGCAGGCCACCTGCCATTTTCTTGGGAGCAGTGCCATTCACTATTCTCCTGTCAACTGTCACTACTGACCAGAGTCACAGGAGCACATTACCCAACAGGGCAAGTGAAGACATTAGTCTGCTTGAAATGTCACCACAATCCACTTATTTATCACCACTTTTAAGGGGTACCGATGTGTTTGTTCGGGCCTTTTTAGAAGAAGCATGAATTTAGCTATTGTGATAGATTCTGGCAGTTTAGTTTTATTCTATAGCATAACAAAAACACAAAAGAGCTTTTGACTTCAGCATTTTCCAGGAAGAACACAGCACTGTTTCAGTGAGGTGTAGAGCAGCCAATGGTTTTAGCCACGTCTGTACATCAGAGTGGTATGCCATATGGCCACAATCTAATTTTCTGCATTCCTCTGGGATCTATTTTTTTGAGGGTGTTTAACTAACCTTGAAATATGCTTTGTTTGTTCCGCTTATTTTTCTACTTCCTGCTTGCCTGCTTGCAAAGATGGATGGGGAGACTGGAGTTGGATAATTAAGTGGTAACAAACCAGGACGGTGTAATGCATGAGAAGGTTCGTGCTCTCCCCCAGATTTACTTATATGTGTATGGCCATCCTAACCCTATACCCACACCTCTCAGAGGTGTAAGGAGATTACAGTGTCACTTTGTTTTTGCATCCTTACCACATCAAATAAAACAGGCTAAAGTCTATCATTAACACTTTAACTGATGTCGGTGTACCCTATCACGGAGCAACGACCGAATGGATCACTGTACAAGTATCTACCATAAATAAAAGTGGAAAAAGTGAGGAAAAGAATTTCATTGTCATCTTAATGTAATGTAATGTCATTTTCAATGTAGTTTCTATGTATATTCAACTCACAGAGGCATATCTGTTGCCTTTGGCTGTATATTTAGTATTTACAGTAGTGTAAATTCACCTTAATGCGATTCTGAACCTTGTACTGAATAGCTGGTGGATGACAAATTATGCAGTACAGTGGCCATAGAGAACCGTTAAAACAAGGGAGTAGATAAGTAGTGGATGAATATGTACATTTAGAAGAGCAGGATAACTAAACTCTGCTTCACACAGGGTAAAACAGACACGGTGGGAGCGGGTAAATCTGATATGTCAGATTAGGCTGTGTATGCCAGCGTGGGTTTCATGCTATGTCAACACAATAAGAGACACCCTGACTGCTTTCATTGATGTCAGAGCAATAATAACACTAATGGACATCGTGACAGATTCATCCTTTTGTGGTGATAGAGACCGGAGCTGAAGAGGCCAGGTGCAGTCTCTTGTTTGCAGAGAGAGACGAGAGGGCAGAGCAGAAACTACTGTGGTACACTGATGCAGGTACAGTACAATACATGGCTGATTCTCTCTGCTCACACACATCTCTCTCGACATTGCCTCCCTCTGTTCTTCACCGCTGTACTGATATGACACATGGGCTTAAATCAGGCTGTTACTATGTGTCATACAGGAAAACACATTTAACAGCATATACAAGACATGAAGATGAGCATGGCTTTGTCAGACCATCCTTTGGCTACACAGTGTTTCTACAAGATATATACATATAGTAAGTTCCAAATACTCTGTTCACCAGTATAAAGGAAGATATAAGAAGTTATACTGCCCCGTGAAGGCAGTAACTATGTATTTGGTCAAAACTGAGTTAACACTCAAATCTGTCTGACATCATTGTTACCATATAAGAAATGATTATGCCATAGAAATGTAAACATCTTTCAAAATTCACAGTAGCTACAGTTGTAACTGCACTCCGGTTGCACAGTTCATACATTCTAGCCTTGTACTGATGCCCAGGCTGCAGTAACTGCACTCTGACTTGGTAATCTGTAGAAATTAAATCCCACTATCACACTTACTGCATTCTCTGCCAAAGAGAACATACCAACTACACAGCTAAAGCAGGAGAGCTCTATCAGGGGACAGCCAGCTGGCGAAATACTGCAGCTACAACTTTCCTTAGCTAAATCAAAACTAGCTTGGCTGATTTATTTTCTACTACCCATAAATAAATCACATCCATTTTAAGGAGCCAACATCTTGGTTTGTTTCGTTAGATATTCCACATTATTCCTACTAAATGAGGCAGTAACGTAGACACATCCAGTGACAAATGAGAAAGCTCAACCTGCTCATCGTAACAAGTTTAGCAGGTCTCAGCAGCTTCAATCTCACAAATTTAAATATGTTAAACTGTATAGATATATATTTCATTGATACTGAATATACGTTGCTTTCAACATAAATATTAATAGCAGGTGAACAGACAACTAGCAAACCAAAACAAGACAGGATGTAAACAGAGCAGTGTTACAAAACAATTATAATCTAGTTATAATTGTTGACAAGCGAGTGTGAGGAGGGAGCAGAGGAAAAGAAGAAGAGAGATGAGCAGATCATTTCCTTTCAACAGAGCTTCTGTATCCAGAAGGAGGAAACTGAGAGGGTGAGGACCTCTGTGTGAGGAAGAGGGTTGGCCAAGACAAGTCGGTCCGTCGATGGAAAGGACAAGCTGGTCATCATGGAAACTCAAAAGAGACAATCTCACATTAAAGCTCACAGACATACCTTGGGCAAACTGAGTGTTAAGCAGACAGTTCTGAATCTGAGCAAACTAGAAAGAGCTCAACAAAGGTGCTCTTAGAGATGGAGGCAAACTGCAGGAAGCAGCTGGCTGAAAAAGGAGGAAAGCCTCCAGACAGTGCTTTCACAGGAGGAAGAGAGCTTTAAGAAGCACCTCTGTGAAAAAGAGGAAAGCTGGAAACAGCAGCTGTCTGGAAGAGAGATCCTCCAGAATGAGCTCTCTAACAATGTGGAGAAGTCCAGAACGGAGCTCCCTGACATGTCTGACAGTTGAGAGAGTGAGAAGAGAGAGCTGGAGGATATGTTGCTGACCAAAGAAAAGCTATGAACCCACATGGAGGCAGTGAGGAAAGATGGGATCCAGGGTCTCACAGAGGAAAACATCCAGCTTCAGGTGTTGCAGCCTGAGTTGAAACCTTTAATTCTAAGGATTTCAGATGTCTTCAGACCTTTGGCAGTGGGATTAAAAAAGTGCTGTCTTTGTCTTCTGAGCAGCTCACAATGGAAGGAAGCAGAAGAAGAGCTTCTGGGGCTGGAGTTTTAATACATAAAACAGCCCACCCCTCACTCATTATCCTAATCCAGCTCCCCTTCCTACCCTAAAACCTAGGAAATTTGATGACAAATTTTTAAACCATTTTTCCTTCACTGCTTCTGTATTTAATACTCTCTATCTGTAGGGCAGTATGGATAGTTTATCGACACTTTCTTCTGTCTATTCCTGTTCTTCTTGCCTCTAGATGCCATGAAATCATCAAGGATTCTGGGTGCAAGATAAGGCACTTATATGCTTTTTAGCATGATTGCGTGCACAAAATGTACCACAATATGAGATAACAGAATGTCCATGTAATGGCAGACGGAGAAGCTGGATGTATATATCCAGTACATGCACAAGCACACACATATACAGACAGTGCACTACAGTAAATGTCACTTCCCACAGAGTGCAGATAAGCAGGAGCGAAGCGTCAAACAGTCACATGTGCGTCTTGCTCAGTGAATTTGCTGCCAGCTTTGCACCATTGAGCTCTCGGGGAGGAAGAAAAACCCAATAGCACGTCTAAAGAGCTACATGTTGCCTGGCTACTAAAAACACTTTCAGAAGTGAAAAGTAACTAAACCCTGCAGCAACAACCACAATTTCCCCACAACAGAAAATCAATCCTTTTGACTAAGGCTTCGATCTTGCATGGAAATCTAGAATTACTGTGTGTTTACAGTGAA